CTCAACAACCGCGAATCATGATGTATACAATGTCTGGCACAAAGTAGTGGGCTCAGGGGGCGGTGTCTTGCGCATGGGTCACTTTTTAGTTATGGTAGAATTACGCAGCGTCTACCACACCCTCCTCCCCCTAATCCACCTGGTTCCGGTCACTAGAGGCGGACTCGGGCACAATAGCTGACATAGTCCGTTTATGCATGCCAAGCAGGTCTGGTCCGCCCACGATGGACAAGTTTTTTTCCCACGAACAAGGGGGAAGGTTCTGGTCCCACAGGCACGAAGACAAAACTATGAATCATTGAGGTAGACTGAGGTATTCCCCAGGTTGGCAGCCATCCAAGTCACGTCTTTGAGAGCGACGTAATAATTAAAAGCGCGCAGATTGCCTGTAGTGAGGAATGTGAGTTGAGTGCTGCCGAGCCTAGTATTTCTTGCCGCTCCGAGGCACCAGTCCAATGTCTGAGTCAGTCAGTGCTCTGATGCGGGGGTTAAAAGAAAATTACTGACAGAACTAAGTTAGCCGTCTACGCATACCCCACACAACCTGGACCCCGGACAGCAAATCGTATTTTTTTACAGATGGGGTTGAGCGGCTGGAATGCAAGTTCACCTTCCGAAGAACATGGGAAAAAATCTTATATGGGAGGTCAGGCGTGGAAATAATTTGCCATAGATTATGAGAAGGTGCAAGATGCTGAACTGGAATTTGGGCGATCTACAAAAAATAGTCGAGAGCCGACCACTTCAGCTTGCTTTGGAGGTTCTGCCTCTTAAACTGCGCAAGGGGCACCTGCCGGCTGGGGGGATAATCGCGTCAAAAAGCCAAGACCGAGGTTCAAATTAAAAGCTCCTACTCCCAGGGACTGGACCCCTACTAATCCCAGCCACGGGGAGTGGGTTATTCGCGCTGATTACTTGACTCCACCTACACCTGTAAGACCTTCTCCGTAGAATAATGGTACCCTTGCGAGTCACTTTTGCAAAAATCGAAAACACTAACCTGAATCAGCTTGATTTCGTTGTTAATGGCATCCAACTGGTCCTGGATCATCAGTGCCAAGGCCTGTGCATCACTCGCGTTACCCGAGTTAATG